GATGATGATGATGATTTTATATATTGTTCAATCATTTTTTTTTACTATAGGCCTACATAATATGCAAACAGTTATTTGAAAAATTGCTGTGTTAACATATTTGGGCTGTGATTATGACAGATTCTGTACAATGAATATTTATCTTAACTCTTTGAGTTCCAAGGAGCACATCATACGTTCAAAGGTTCCTACCTAGAAACCCAGTAAACGCAAGACGTCTCTGTTTACTACCCCTTGGACCTGGAATGCTAAACCCTTTGGGACTCAAAGAGTTAATAAAACTGAAATTGTGTGTACACTGTGTGCTTCGGATAGCCATTGACCATAAATAATTGTTTTAAGTTTTCCACATACATCTTTTGCTGTCTTTCTGTGTCTCTTAATCAGCATATTTTGACAAAGATAATTTCACTATTCCACAGATTTTGTTGATATCGTCAATAAATCTTAAATCACAAAAATTTTATTTCTTTCAGTTTCGTTTTTATGAGTGATCTTGTTACAACTTGCATACCACTTAAAACTTCAGCAACTGTTTTTTTTTTTGTTTGTCCATGACATTCTAAACATTCTTCAAGAAAACTACACTAGGTACCCCAAGTTTCTTTAGGTCTATTTACTTAAGGTCCATTACAATTTACTTTTTGAGTCCACCAACTACGTTTTTCACGAGGTTGATCAGTGTCCAGTGTCATGTATTGTCTCGTTAAAAAAATGGCACATTAGATTAAGACCTTAAGTGAATCTTTTTGTAGTACACAGTCATGATCATTCCTGTGGGTGGGTGGTCTGTAATGTTTCTATCGAAGAAAAATACGAAATGCGTAGTTCTAAATATTTGATTTTCAATTCAGGCATAACCGTTACAGCACTGCCCTATGGCATCTTGTCAACTAAATATACATAATAATACAGTAAGGACAACTTTGAAAATAAAGATGAAATAGTCAGTTTATTGTTTTATTGTCAGTTTCAACCTTAAAGAAATACAGTCACAAAGCATCGTCCGTAAACGTATATGACATACTGATGATTTTCAGGGAAGTCCTTCTTTGTGTGTCCAGCATCTAGTTTTTAGTTTTTCCCGTTTGTTTCGATCGTCGGAATATTAACTTAACACAAAGTAGAATATTCTAACAAAAATTTACAAAATCTTTTATTCATTTCTTAATACACAATACACTAAAGTTCACTGGATTTTAAACGACCACATACAGTAAGTAATCTGTAGGCAAGATGACTGGAAAGTCGTGGTGAAAAATCGTCAAATTGCTTCCAGTTTCCAAATGGGCAGAAGCAGAAGTGGCCGCCACAACAGCAGCCAGGGCTGCCAATGGGACTTTTTTGAAAAACCCAGCTAAGCTAAACAAAAACCCAAGCAATACATAGGCAAAGAACAAAAAACAAAATAAAAGCCTAAATTGTCGAAAAGTACGGTCTAAATCGTCGCCGTCGGTTTATAGTTAACTCGGTCCCTATTACAGAACCTAATTAATTTAATTAAGCAAGACGACAGCTGTCACAGTCGCACTGATGATGCAGTGTAAGTCAATCGTCACATCCAGTATTCATATAGCTTGTCTCAGAAAGCTGCTCAAAATCAAATAGCAAGATAACATCTCAGATACCGTGGTTATAGATAGAGCAAACCTGTCCAGCATCCACACAATATGTAAGAATTATCAGCTGCGTTGGGTTGGTCACCTAGCCCACTTGCCAGACTTTCGCCACACAAAGAGTATTTTATGGCGAGCTCCAGCAAGGGAAGAGGTCACAGGCACTCTTACAACTGCTTTCAATTTTTTTGGCATCAACACAGCGACACGGGAGGCTGCTGCACGGGGTTGATCTTCTCAAGTACACACTTCTTCCCTTTGCTTTGATCTTCTCAAGTACACACATCTTCCTTTTGCTTTGATCTTCTCAAGTGCACACTTCTTCCCTTTTGCTCTGATCTTCTCAGGAACAAATTCTTCCCTTTGCTTTGATCTTCTCAAGTGCACATTTCTTCCTTTTGCTTTGATCTTCTCAAGTACACACTTCTTTCCTTTGATCTTCTCAAGTGCACACTTCTTCCCTTTGCTCTGATCTTCTCAGGAACAAATTCTTCCCTTTGCTTTCATCGTTTCAAATCCACACTTAGCCCGTGTGGGATCCGGGGCCCCATTGTAGGGGAAAACAAGAATAGACCCACTGCCTCCCCAAAAGCATGTCGTAAGAGTCGACAAATTGGGGAGCTTCCTTTGAAGTCGGAGTGCATCTGCCGGAGAGGCAAGGAACCAACAGTCTGTATTCCAGAGAATGAGATCTGTAAAACTGATGCACACGCAACACTCAGGTTCTGGAGCAGGACTGCAGTTCAGTAGTGGACGAGCAACCAGAACTTTCCGCCAGAATGTACAGCTGGTGAACGCGAAGAAGAAGAAGAAGAAGAAATCCACACTTTTTTGCTTTCAAAATTGGTGGTGGTTTGGGGCAGGGAAGGGGCCCACCTATATCCCCATTCACAAACAACCCAGCATCAAGTTATATAATGACTCAGAACAGTTGAGAAAACAACTCTCCAACTTGCATGTGGTAGAAAATACCACCCACCCCAGCAACTGCACACACACAAAGAAGAAAACAGACAATATACAAAATATCAGTTTTATTTCACGACAGATCAGCTTCTTCATAGTGCGAACTATGAACATGGTTTAACAAATCACAGACCACGCCTCCCACGCTGACTAAAGTCATAGGAGAAAATCAGTGAAAATCAGTGACAAAAGATCACAGATAGCGAACATAAAAACAGGGATAACAACAACAAACACGCTACTTCGATTTTACTGTTGCCTGTTCTTGTACAGTTAACAGACATTTATTTAGTATAAGTAATTTTATATACAAACTATTTCCAAAAATGATCTTGGTTCTCTGCTCTACCCAGTCAAAAATGGGTGCCAGGTAAAGACCTGGGAAGTAAAGGCAGCCAGCGTGATGCTGACCACATCACCCACCAAGTGCTGTGTGGTCTATAAAATATAGGTCTAGCAGTTATGCCCAATATGCCTGAAAGCGTCTTAAAGGGTCCTTTATCTTTATCAATGTTTCGTTTCAAGACAATTGTAAACATATTTTTTTAAACTCGTTAATAACAGTTTTTCCTCCTCTAGCCATGGATCCCACAATGTAATATTTATACCCGTTTCATATTTTGACCCATTTACCAAGTTTAATTTTCACATGAGAATGCTCCCCTTCCCAAAGTGTGGTCATCATTGTGTGTTGTGGTTCACAGCTAGGCTGTGACATCTGCATTCTGGCAGTTGTAGGACAGTACGAGAGTTACACTGTGGAAGACACTGGAATCTCACTACATAACAGTCCCAAAGACTGCAATGGGTATACTGCAACCAACCTTCATATAATGTAGATAGACATCACACTATTTTTTTTTATTCACAGAGGCTATCTGAATGCTCGCTAATTTTATTCACTGAGGCTATCTGAATGATCACCGAGAAGGCTATTATTAACCCTTTCCTGCTGAGCAGCCAAAACACCAACACTTCTCTGGTGTATTCCATTTAATGCTTCACCCCCATTCATATCTACTGATTACTTCTTTTACAAATCTTTAAACATTTACAAAGTAAAATTTAAAATGTCAATAAATGCATTTTGAACAAATTTATTAGTGACCTGTGTAAACAAAATGTATCTTTTTTCGTTTACATGTTTTTCAGGAATCTATCGGGGTCATGACTTAAAAAAAAATTTTTCAAGAGTTCCCAGGGCAAAAGCTATAAGACAAAACTGAACGACATGCTTTCATCTCAAGGCATTTGCTACCAGTTCCAATATTCTATAGACCAATCTGCACTCAATAGGTAGGTAATTTGGTAAATATCACAAGTCACAGGTAAAAGAGAAACAAATTGCACCACACCAATGCTAACATACATAAAAAGGCAGCAAATCAAATGGTTCGCCCACTCAGAAGGCCTTGTGACGCCGTGCCATACAAAGTAGACACTAAAAGAGGAGAGGAATGTAGAACTTGAGGTAGACCAAGAACAAGGTGGAAAGACAACATCAGAGAAACTTTACCAACAGCATGATGTGTCTGTGGTCAAGGCGGCCAGAAGAGTAAGAAGCAGAAGCTGGTATCTCCCTCGACACTTGAAGCCACAAATGAGGAAGTGAAGAAACAAAGAAAAAGTCAATATCACACCAGCTGCCTTTACTTTCCAGAATATTTCCTACACTCAGAAGACTGATGGTCTAAACCTAAATCCTCAGCAACGACAGTCTCGGGGCTGATGCAGCCTCACAATACAGGCACCAGATTTTTTAAACATTTGTAAAGTACGGGAGCGAGGACAGAAATGTTAAACCAACCACCGAACCTCTGATCTTGAATGTTAAGAGCTTCAAACTACTGTAACACCCAACTGTTATATAATTACTTTTTATCCTATCATTGAAAATAATGAACATTTACAAACATGACAAATATATACCAAATGTAGAGAGCTTATTTGGCTTGTACATAAATATGAAACCGCAACGACCATTTGCATGCTGACTTTGCAAACTATGACAGTAAAGACACAAACTGACCATAACAAGAAGTCCAAGAAAATAACTATGCCAAAACAGTGAACATTTCTATTAGCGATTTAAAAAAAAAAAAAATGTGCTTACTTCCGCCACAATAAATTACAAAAACAACCATACAAAATTACCTTAACACTAAACTCACTGTCCCAGGATAAAAAGTCTGAATATATGTCATTAAACTAAAGGGGAACAAAATACACACCCAACAAATCTAAGTATGATTAAAAACTAAGAAAATATGAATATACAAAGACAATGAAGTCTACAGGTGAGAAATGGAGCTAACAAAGAATAGTCCAGAGATCAAATTAAATGCCATGTCACGACTCCTGATGGGCTGTCTCCACTAGTGTCTGGTATTCTCCTTTTCTGCTGTTTGCTGTGTTTGTCTACTCTTTTTTGACAGCTGCCTGTTCCTTAGCCTGGTGAGCCTGAAGCACTGCAACGGCTTCTTCCACCTGGTGGCCAGAAACACAATCAGTTACAGATGGTCACATGCAAACAGTCTTAAGATGAATCTCTGGATACATCAAAGATTTAAAAAATGTGGAGAAAAGAGAGTGAGAAAAATAACATCACTATCACTCAATCTCAGAAGATCAGCTACAAGAGCAATGAGACAGCTGCGGAAAACATGGATTGACAACATTAAAAACATTCTATACCTTCACAGCATGACAATAGCCAGTGTGCACTGGCTCCCAAATTATTCCTCCCCACGTCACTTAATGGCAGACGTGGTTTTGATGATGATGATCAGCTGTAAAAGTCACGACTGTCCTTGCTTTTATTCCAGGACTAAGTTTCGTACACATCCATTTGACACATCTGGCTTGTCTGTGTATAGACCATTCATTCCTTGCTTCTCAAGCAGATGCAGTTTGATTTCAAAGGAAATTTCAATGCTATCTACGCTGGCCTGGGAAGTATTCCTAGGATGACTGCGGAGAGGTAGAGGCAGGTCTAGACCAGCAAGAGCCCTGCTCCTGGTGCACCACAACGTCTGGTTCAGCACCTCTGCTGCTCAATGTAAACACTAATACCAAACAATACTTTTAAACACTTTTTCTTTTCTGCTTCTTCTTCTTCTTAGCGTTCACCAGCTGTAGCAGAGAGTTCTGGTTTGTCTTCTATTTCCTGGCTTTGGTCTTGTGTTCCAGAACTTGAGGTTTGTGTGCACTTCCATTTTACAGATCTGGCTTATCTATATGCAGACTTTTGGCTCCTCGTTTCTTGAGCAGATGCACTCCAACTTCGAAGGACGCTTTCCTAATTGAGATGCTTTTTAGGGAGTCTGTGTTTCTTTTTTTTTTTTCCCAACCCCTAGAATGGGGCCCCAAAATCCACACTAGGAAAACATAATACTTAAATTAACTGTTCCCCCTGTTTTGAATGTTTATACCGTGTCATCTGTTTTGAATGTTTATACTGTGTCATCTGTTTTGAATGTTTATACCATGTTATATTTTGAATGTTTATACCGTGTCATCTGTTTTGAATGCTTATACCGCGGCATTTGTTTTGAATGTTTATACTGTGTCATGTTTTGAATGTTTATACAGTGTCATCTGTTTTGAATGTTTATACCGTTGTCATCTGTTTTGAATGTTTGTACCATGTCATCTGTTTTGAATGTTTATACCGTGTCATGTGTTTTGAATGTTTATACCGTGTCATGTGTTTTGAATGTTTATACCGTGTCATCTGTTTTGAATGTTTATACCGTGTCATCTGTTTTGAATGTTTATACCGTGTCATCTGTTTTGAATGTTTGTACCATGTCATCTGTTTTGAATGTTTATACCGTGTCATCTGTTTTGAATGTTTATACCGTGTCATCTGGTTTGAATGCTTAGACTACATCAATTCTTCTTACTTTCCACTTTAACCAAACCAATTATTCCGCTTAGCCATGCCGACAATACGATAATTTTGTTTATCTTTAGATCCATATGCCTTTTCTCTATTAGAATGCTGACCACATATCCTTTGGGGAGGGGGGGGGGGAGATGCATCGGACATATGACGCTAAACTCACACATGATTGGACTGACGTGGTCATATCATGTTGGTTGCCTTTACTGTCTAGGACATTTGCTCAACACGGAGAAGTGGGTAGGAATATGACTATCAGGATTCCCACTAACTGAATTCCCTCTACTTCTTCATCGCCTGTGAACTCTTGTGGAAAGTTCTGCTTCTGGAACTCGAGCTTTATGAGCTTATCCATTTTACTTATCTGGTTGATTTCTATGCAGACTGTTGGTAGCTCGCCTCTTATGCAGACGCACTCTAATAACATACTTGTTATGGGGCAGTAGGTCTTTGTCGTCCAAAGTGGGATGCTGCAACCCACAAGGGGAGATAGGATGTCCCCACTGTGCAAGCGCACCAATCACATGGATCTGTCACTTTATACTTTTGTAGTCAGAATCGGACTCACATTTTAGTAATCAACCTGTAAATCATGACTTGAACCCTTACCTTCAGCTTGAGGGACTCGTGAGACTCTAGCATGTGCAGCAGTTCCGAGTTGTCTATCTCCAGCAGCATGCCGGTGATCTTGCCGGCCAGCTCTGCATACATACGCTGGATCAGCGGGAACAGCCTCTCCCCCAGCATCTGCTTCTGCTCTTGTGGCGGAGCTGCGGCCAGCATACTGGCAGTCAGGGGGTCCTGTCCTGGGATCACCACAGACTGCTGGGGCTAAAGAAAAATTAAGCACAGATGTTGTTGTAGTGCAGACAAAATAAGCACAGATATTGTTGTACTGCACAACCATACATGGAATCATACATTTTCAAAGTACTTGTTCTTATCCTGACTACGGATGTATTTCCCCATTTCATATAAATGTGCATACATACATCAGCACGTCTATGTACACTATCCTATTATCAAATGGCTTTACCTACTGAGCTTCACATACTACCTGTTCAATAAACAAATACCTACTACAGACATCTCAAACCCAATTCAGTTGCAAAATATGGCCTCTCATACTAATCTTGGTAATCACAGTTCCAACTTCGGCCCACAGTTGCTCCGTTCCTGTGCCAACTAAAAATGTACAGAATGTCCATCTCTGTCGCCTGTGAAAGATTGGATACAGACTGCAATTTTAGCAAATCCAACAGAATACATGCATATTAAATGCATAAGGCAGTGGTCAGAACTGTCAACGCAAACAGCCCAACACTAGAAATGGAGTTTATCGCCGATAGAAGCAGCAGTTACCCCAGACCAGTAATTACACATACAACTAATTGTATAAGGCGCTACAAGTTCTCTGACAACAGACCACTAGCTATTTTCTGAATCAGCAGTTCAAAAACATAAACCATGCTAGGCACAGCTGAAAAGCATTCTAAATGAAATCCACAGCTCAGTGCTGTGCCATACACCTAACTCAGTAGATGGTTGACAAAAGTATATTCTTTCAGTCCCCCATATAAAGGAATATGCAAAAGTTAACCCTACCAGACCACTCGCCCAGTTTTCCGGGAATTTCATAACTGTTCTCTATACCGCTGGCCCTAATTTTCGGCTATTTGCATAGTGAGTGAGAAAGATGTGTCACTGACTAAAAAATAACCAACCAATCGTCATCAGTCCGCTTTGTTAGACATTGCAAATGGCTTCCCCGTGTGTGTGAATCAATTTTGTGTGTTTTAATGTGAAAAAATTCGGAAAATTCAGAATGAAGCGAGCGGCTGATGAACCAAGTTCTAGGCGTTTCACAGTCCAACAGGTGATCAATACTTTGGTTTATTCAGACTCTGTGATATATATATATATATATATATATATATAATATATATATATATATATATATATATATATATATACATACATACATACATATATATATTCATTATCTGTGATAATTTCATAAAGAATAGGTTCTTGAAGTGACACTGTCAGTGAGAGCGCGAATAATAAGAAAAATCTTGAAAATTATCAACCTTGAAATAGATGGATAGTAGGAGGAAGGGGTGTGTCCATCAAACGGCAACATCTGGTGTTCACTTTGTGAAAAAAAGTTGATTCTGACGAGTGAATTCGCACACAAAGGTGGAATATTCTAGCCACTCTTTTGCATGTAACTAATATTTTTGTATATCATGTTGGTTTTTTCGTGGTAATGCCCAGGAGCTCAGGTTATAGGGACAGTTAGGTTCGGGGCCTTAGGTCTGGTAGGGTTAACTACTTCAGAAGCAAAATTTGCTAAGACTAAATAAAGACAATAAGCCCGCCTATCCGGAACTCCCCAAAAATTTAAAACAAAACTTAAAAATCAGTCACAGATGGGGCTTACCTGTGGCAGTGGACGACCAGGCTGCCCAGGCATTTGTCGAGGACCAGCTGGATAAGCAGCCGGACGAGCCCCCGCTTGAGCTATCACAGCAGCGCTCTGTGGGTGAGTCATCCCAGGTATCACCACACCCCTGGAAGCTGCCGCAGCAATGGGCTGACCAGTGATTGGACGTGAGTTGACAGTTGTTGGCCTCATCTGAGCTTGGGCAGTAGAAGGTCGGGCACGTATCTGGTTAGACATGGCTTGAAAGCCTGAAAAAAAAAATTGTTCATTACAATATTGATATCTCAAGAAAATAGAGGATAATTTCTTGCCTTCACTTCCAGAGGCTGTGATATGACTGCTGTCATTTCATGTCACTTTCCTCATCAATCAGCAGATCTTTTACAGAATGTCGCTCTCTTCATAGCGTGCCTGAAGGTCCTTCTTTCTCTAGCAAACCCATCAGCCCTATGTGCTTTCATAGCCAATGCCTGTTTAATGTCTTGTATCATCTTCATGGCGATCGACCTCCGCATCATTTCCCAGAAATTGCACAAATCACAGATGTAACTTTTACCCGATAAATATATTTATATTTGTATGTGCTTGTGTGTGTGTGTGTGTATATATACACATATACATACATACAAACTCTTTAAAAAAAATTTCAATTAGATGCCTATCTGAGATGCCAAAGAAAAATTCCTACTTACTCTGCCAAAGGGAGTCAATGTGGCGTAGTGCTATAATGTTGACCGCACCAGTCACCAAGTGCCGACTGGTCTATAAAATGTAGGTCTAGCCCTATATGCCCAACTTGCCTAAAGGCGTGGAAAAGGGTCCTTTACCCTTTTTTACTCCGCCAATGGTTTTTTCCCCAGTTGTAACGTACTCTGGCAGTGGCCGCAGTGTAAATATTACGTCTGCGCAGGCTCTGTTTGGCCTAAATATAAACTGAGCTTCTGATAGTTGTTCTTTCAACATTGGTCTTACTGAAGTCCTCAATGTTAGAACATATTTCTACTGTAATGTAGACAATCATAACAGGTACTAATTTCTCAAGAGAACAAATATGTAATGCAGCAGAAATGTATAAACAACAAAGTCGGTTTGTTAAGTGCTGTTATTCTGCCTAATTACACCCCCCACCCTTTTTTTTTCTTCGCCAGGACAAGAAAGGCATTTCAGAAACTCAACCCCCTGCCCTCCCAAGGACCACATCTGTTATCTACCCTCTAACCAGTCAGGCGGCCTAGTTGGTCTATTCTTTGTTACCCAAAATGGAACCCTAGAACCCAGATGGAGATAACAGAAAACTGATTTGACTGCTAATACTGGCAAAACTGCTCACAGGACACCCAAGACAACTGAACATTGACACTGACATACAAAACAACAGCAAAAATTTTAAAAAATCTCACCTGGAGCCTGATTAGGTCTTATGCCAGGAGCCCACGGAGTGCGTGCTTGCCGCATGGAGGGTACAGCTGACGGAGTGAAGTAGCCTCGTTGAGCTTGAGGCATTGTGGGCACGAAGTACCCGGCCGCTCCAGCATTGAATATTGGATTGTAAGGGACGTTCTGTTAGGATAGATAAATATGTCATGTAAAATAAAGGATCTGTGAAGATACACAAATATGTCATGTAACATAAGGAACCTGTCAGGATAAACAAATATGTCATGTAACATATTGGACCTGTCAGGACAGACAAATATGTCAGGTAACATAAGAGACCTGTCAGGATAGACACATATGTCAGGTTACATAAGGAGCCTGTCAGATACACAAATATGTCAGGTAACATAAGGGGCATGTCAGGACAGACAAATATGTCATGTAACATATTAAACCTGTCAGGACAAAAGAATAGACAAATATGTCAGGTTACATAAGGAGCCTGTCAGATACACAAATATGTCAGGTAACATACTGGACCTGTTAGGATAGGCAAATATATCAGGTAACATAAGGGACCTGTCAGAAAAGACAAATATGTCATGTAACATAAAGAAACCTGTCAGGATAGACAAATATGTCATGCTGAGTTAAGTTGAGTCGAGAATTGACATCACAGCACTTGGGACATTCCCATGCATGCTCCATCCTCATCTTCAGCAGCCAGTGCAGAGTTCCAATACTGATGGTACCGGTCACAATCTGGTTAAATGTCCGTCTTGCCTTGCCTCTGAGTGTAGTGAACCGGCCAGACCCTCTGGTTATACCCAGGTGCCTCATTCTCTCCAGGTCATAATAAAAATCTTTCTCTGCTGATTCTGTTGCTTGTTCCCAAAGGGCCTTGACTACATCGGCCTTAAATATGTCATGCAACACAACGGACCTGTCAGGATAGACAAATATGTCAAGTAACACAACGGACCTGTCAGGATAGACAAATATGTCATGTAACATTAAGGACCTGTCAGGATAGACAAATATGTTATTTAACATGAAGGATTTGTCAGGATAGATAAAAATGTCATGTAACATAAAGGACCTGTCAGGATAGACAAATATGTCAAGTAACATAACGGACCTGTCAGATACACAAATATGTCATGTAACACAAAGGACCTGTCAGGATAGACAAATATGTTATGTAACATAACAGACCTGTCAGGATAGACAAATATATCATGTAGCATAAAGGATCTGTCAGGATAGACAAATATGTCATGTAGCATAAAGGACCTGTCAGGATACACAAATATGTCATGTAACATAAAGGACCTGTCAGGACAGACAAATATGTCATGTAACACAAAGGACCTGTCAGGATACACAAATGTGTCATGTAACATAAAGGACCTGTCAGGATACACAAATGTGTCATGTAACATAAAGGACCTGTCAGGATACACAAATATGTCATGTAACATAAAGAACCTGTCAGGATACACAAATATGTCATGTAACATAAAGGACTTGTCAGGATACACAAATATGTCATGTAACATAAAGGACCTGTCAGGATACACAAATATGTCATGTAACATAAAGGACCTGTCAGGATACACAAATATGTCATGTAACATAAAGGACGTGTCAGGATACACAAATATGTCATGTAACATAAAGGACCTGTCAGGATACACAAATATGTCATGTAACATAAAGGACCTGTCATGTGAATAATGAAAAAATACAGAATGAGAAAAAGGTGTTGTGGAACGAATAAAGTTAATGAATGGGCAAAAATAGTAATAATAATAATTTTAAAAATACATTATTATTAATAACAGCCCCATTATAATAAAAACAGCACACATAATAGTGATAGTAGGCATAATAATAATAATACACATTAAAAAACAACAGTACACATAATGATGATGATGATAATAATTGTACACATTATAACAGTAATAACACTACATGACATGTGTACGCACTCTACCTGTTGGCGCATGGATGCCAGTCTCTGGATGTGCTGGCTAGCCAGATGTGCACGGCGGTCCTCCTTTCGCTGAGCCAGCGCCACATACAGAGGCTTGGCCACAATGATGCGGCCATTCATCTCGGTCACAGCCTTGGTGGCCTCCTCTGGGGAGCTGAAGCATACGAACCCAAAACCTCTGGACCTGCCACTGTCTCCCATCACCTGCAAGGCATTGATCAAATCAATCAGCATGTCCTTTATTTATGGAACTTCACAGCATGCCTGAAAGTCTCTCTCTTGACAATTCTTCAGCCCACTGTACCCTTCACAGCTGAGGTCAGCCTCTGCCTTGTTGTCAGGAGACTGCAACCTCCATCACCGTTCCCTCCAGCCTACTGTGCCTTTTCACAGCAGAGGTCAGCCTCTGCCTTGTTGTCAGGAGACTGCAACCTCCATCACAGTTCCCTCCAGCCCACTGTGCCCTTCACAGCAGAGGTCAGCCTCTGCCTCGTTGTTAGGAGACTGCAACCTCCATCACAGTTCCCTCCAGCCCACTGTGCCCTTCACAGCAGAGGTCAGCCTCTGCCTCGTTGTCAGGAGACTACAACCTCCATCACCGTTCTCTCCGGCCCACTGTGCCTTTTCACAGCAGAGGTCAGCCTCTGCCTCGTTGTCAGGAGACTGCAACCTCCATCACCGTTCTCTCCAGCCCACTGTGCCCTTCACAGCAGAGGTCAGCCTCTGCCTTGTTGTCCGGAGACTACAACCTCCATCACAGTTCCCTCCAGCCCACTGTGCCTTTTCACAGCAGAGGTCAGCCTCTGCCTCGTTGTCAGGAGACTGCAACCTCCATCACCGTTCTCTCCAGCCCACTGTGCCCTTCACAGCAGAGGTCAGCCTCTGCCTTGTTGTCCGGAGACTACAACCTCCATCACAGTTCCCTCCAGCCCACTGTGCCTTTTCACAGCAGAGGTCAGCCTCTGCCTCGTTGTCAGGAGACTGCAACCTCCATCACCGTTCTCTCCAGACCACCATGGCAAACTTGACATGTCCTTTGATCAAATCATTGTTAAATATTTTAAGCAGTGCACTGCAACTGCACAAGGCAGAGGTGATCTCTCACCTGTGGAACCAGGTACCAAGTAAAATGGAAGATAGTGAAAACCGGCACCCGGAGAGAATGAAGCAGCGGGGAGTGTCTGCGGGGCTCTGGGCACCATGAGACTCAGGGTGAAAAGCAAGGCACCAGATTACAATAGGTAATATCAGTATGAAGACTCTCAGCTGGCTGATTGTTGGCGAGGGAGACGGAGCTTATATAGGCTTATCCTGAATGCTATGATGTTGAATCTTTATCTAGGTGTGCCAATTATTTTATAAAAAACCACAATTGGCATTCGGTGTGGTTTTCATGAGCACAAAAACGGAGTAACTACAGGGTGAGCTGTCTGCTATGAAGCTACAATTGCGATTACATGACTGAATAATTATAATGGTTGACTTACATCCCATGAGCACAATCATGCTTTAAACAGTGTGTCATCCGACTCTAGGCAACATACAAAGATTAGTAAATGTCAAGTTCATTAGGGCAACAGAGATACATTTGAAATAAAAACAGATATGTGAGTAGGATGTCCCCTGCCACCTACATACACTATTTTACTGGCTGTAAACTGCATTATGAAGACAACTACATCTACTAATGGCTATGGATTTAAGTGCACCCTGAACACAGTTTGATGTTGTTGTTATCGATCCAGCGGCGCATGAGCTTTCGCCCTTTGGCCCAATGCCATGTAGTGGAATTTGCATGTTTTCACAAGCTGTTCTTTTCCTCCGTACAAGGTGTTCCACTTGTCTGGTCTCGGAGGGAGTAGCGTTCTTCTTGTCTCACTGAGTTTTGGGCACTCAAAGAGATGGTGTTCAACAGTTTCGTAGGGGTAGTTACATAGCTGGCACTCTGGGGAGTGTTGTGGCTGTATTCTGTTTAGGTGTCCATTGAGTGGAGTATGTTGCGTTCTAAGTCTGAAGATGGTGGCCTGGTCCCTTCTTGTTAGATGGTTAATGCTGTCATTAGGATCAGGGCCAGACATATGTCTATAAACCTCTCTTCCAGTGTCTCCCATGGCCCATCTGTTCAACCAAGTCTCTTTGTTTATAGCTCTTATCAGTGTTTTTGCTGTCTGGAGGGTTGTCGCTGTCGGTGGTTGTTCTTGTGTTGCTCCTTTCTTTGCCAATCTGTCAGCTCTGTCATTACCTGGTGTGCCGGAGTGACCTGGAATCCACTGCATCACTATTCTGATGTTGTATGAGGTAATAAGCTGATCGGCATCCAGGATTATCTTGGCTATGTCAGTTCTGCAGCGTTCATTGCCCTCCAGAGCTTGAAGGGCAGACATTGAATCTGTGAAGATGACAATATTTTGGACCTTTGAGGGGTAAACATCCATTACAGTCTTTAGGTGGTATACTGCTGTTTCCAGTGCAATTATTTCAGCTTCATAGTTTGAACAGAATTCCCCGCATGCATCAAAAATCTCAGTTTGATGATAACAGACATAGATTACTTCAGAGCTGGTGTGCAATCAAAGTGACTCTTTACTACACACACAATTATCAAAAAGGTACAGAATTTGCAACTACCAGACACTGGCCTGACAAGGAGAGATCCTCATTCTTCCCTTCAGAACAGGAGGACAGGACAGGACAGGGCGACAGCAGACTGAATAAATACAACAGTAGGTTTCATTACTCGACCTATTTCAGCATTTTGCATGTGTGAACGAACTTTTTTTTGTTTCTTTTTTATTTTCAACTGACTCTCCACACAGCAAACCCAGAAACACACCAGACTGCCAAGTGAACACTACTTAACTTCTTTGTGTTTCACCAGTGACTTCTAGTCTTGTTTCAGAACAAGTGCATATCCATTTTTCAGATCTGACTTATCTGTATGCAGAATGTTGGTTCCTTGCCTCTCAGACAGATGTACTCTGACTTCAAAGGAAGTTCCCAATTAGTCGACTCTTATGACATGCTTGTTGGGGAGGCAGTGGGTCTATTCTTGTTTTACATTCAATGGGACTCAGGAACCCACACAGGGAAAAACTACTTTAATATAAGAGGTATGGATATGAAGGACTTCCAAAGATGAAAGGGGACTGAAGAACTCTAAAAGTAAAGATTCATGAAGTGGAAATCCAAAAGCATCGAGTTTATAAAGAGGAACTCAAAAAGAGGGCAGAAGGGACTGCAAAAGAGGACAGCCTTAGTTCATGAAGAGGAAGAGAGAACAGCTGAGTGCATTTACCTGACTCCAAAAAAAGAGGGCAGTTGAGTTCATTAAAGGAAAATCCAAAAGGACACTCGAGTTTGCGAAGAGGGATTCTAAAAAAAAACAGCACCTGAGTTCATCACAATAACATGCATAAAGGTGAAGTCATGAAAGACAACAAGTGGAAAAAGAAACAAGGAAGACAAGTGAACATAATGATTTTCAAAATTACAAAAGAAACACATCAGGCTAACAATCAGCATTAACTCACAAGATTACGAAAAACATGAATTCCACGTAGCAAATCTCCTAACACCGGACAAGAAGACCCACCTTTGCACTTGTGATGGTGCCAAACTGGGAGAACTCCTTGCGCAACCTTTCATCATCCACGCCATCGTCCAAGTTTTTCACATAGAGGTTGACCCCCTGGTAGCGGTTGATCCTCTCCATCTTGATCCTCTCAAACTTTGTCTTTGAGCTCTGCCTGCCGTTCAGCCTTCTTCTGGGCACGACCAACGTATAGCTGCTTGCCTCCCAACTCTGTTCCATTCAACATGGTCACAGCCTGGCCCATAGGAGTACACATATACGTACAAGCTGGATACACATATACGTACAAGCTGGATACACATATACGTACAAGCTGGATACACATATACGTACAAGCTAGATACACATATAGGCACAAGCTGGATACACATATACGTACAAGCTGGATACACATATACGTACAAGCTGGATACACATATACGTACAAGCTGGATACACATATACGTACAAGCTGAATACACATATACGTACAAGCTGGATACACATATACAAGCTGGATACACATATACGTACAAGCTGAATACACATATACGTACAAGCTGGATACACATTTACGTACAAGCTGAATACACATATACGTACAAGCTGAATAACATATACACAGCTGGATACACATATACGTACAAGCTGAATACACATATACGTACAAGCTGAATACACATATACTCACAAGCTGGGTACACATATACGTACAAGCTGAATACACATACACGTACAAGCTAAATACACACATACGTACAAGGTTTCTAACAGTTACTCATTCTCTGCAAAACTAATTCTAGAGTATTTATTTCATTTCTAGTCCCAGGACTCCAACATTACCCCTGGCAGCTCCCGGCATTGAAGATAAGAAGTTCACTATTTCACGATTCTTGGGTACTAGTGTTAGCTGTCCGTAGTGGGTCGTTATTAAACACATTCTCATAGTTTACAGGTGACAGTACAAGAGTTGCACCATTAAACAGAGTGGGGGCCTCGTCATGTAATATTTCCAAAGACAGTCCGCAGCACTTAACAGCCAACTTTCATTTTGAAGATGGCAGCTCCTCGTGTGGGCTCTGGGGCCCTGTTATAGGGAAAACAAGAATAGATCCACTGCCTACCTAGAAGCATGTCGTAAGAGTCGACTAAGTGGGAGCTTTCTTCGTAGTCACGAGTGCTTTTGCCTGAGAAGCAGCAGTCTGCATACAAATGAGTCAGATCTGTAAAATGGATGCACACGCAACACTCAGGTTCTGGAACAGGACTGCAGTCCAGAAGTGGACGAACAACCAGAACTTATTGCCAGAGTTTACAGCTGGTGAACGGGAAGAAGATGGCAGCAACAACAACAAATAGGTATTAGAAAATGTATGGCAGATGTGTTAGCTGTAGGGCCAGATTTAGACATAAAAGGGCCCTACGCTCTACAAAGCCAGCCTGAGGCTACTAAGGTATTAAATTACACCAGCTCTCAGAAACTTAATATATGCACCTTTTAAAAATATGGATAATGGAAACATATTGTTGCCTAATTTTTATAAAAAGAAATAACAAAGAATGGTTTGCAAAATCACAGAAATTATTTAATCCTCTAAAAGTCTCAAAGCTATATGTATTAACAGAAAACTGCATTTGTGACAGAGAATTTTTCAGCTCCTTCAGAGTGTGAGGCCCTTAGCTGTAGCTTATTTAGCTTACATCTAAATCCAGAACTGGTCAGCTGCTAGACCCTTGTGTGTGGAATGAGCCTATCAATGCCTCAGACCTCACTCTCCAGTCGCCAGTGATCACTCTCCAGCCCCCTAATGATCACACTATCAGAATCACAATGACATGCCAACTGGCACATCAACATGGCTTACCCTCTCGGCAGCTTCTGGCTCCTCAAAGCTGACAAAACCAAAGCCACGAGACTTGCCATTTCCATCATACATCACCTGAAACACACAACAGAATACTTGTAACTATCTACACAAAAAAGTAATACAATTTTGTGAAAGAATGAATGAACTCGAGGCATTCCCACATGTGCTCCATCTCCTTCTTCAGTAGCCAATGAAGAGTTGACATGCTAACAGTACCAGCTGCAACCAGGCAACCTGATTTAAAAGTCTGGCTATGTTTCTCCCGCAGTGATGAATATCTTCCAGAATCTCTAACCCCCTTCGGTTGAATTTGTCTTTCAATGTACGGATTCTCTATCTGCTTTACTGCAATGTGCATTTGATCCCACAGCCACTGTGTATTCTAACTACAGAAAATCATCGGTTCTTTATCAATATCCTACCCCAGATGACGCCACAGGACAGTCCACAATTTTAGAGGGTGGTAAGATTAAGTAAATTTCCCGGCTTTCTGATGCTTTTAACGACCCCAAAACATCTAGAACTGGCCCTATCCCAAACCCACCTATGTCCCACGAGAGAGTGCAGCCTAGGTCCCACGACTGCATGCAGCCTATCTACCATCCCCTGAAATATTAGACTGTTCTGTGACTTGTGGATCTCCCGTTTGGGGTAGGATATTAATAAAACACCAAATCATCTAACATTTCTATCTTCTCAGTTCGTGTGGAGTTTGCCAAAGTTATGACCATCTCTAGATGTCCCTTCAGGCCCTATGCTGGAATAATTAACCACACAACTTAACTCTCGCCCATGCTGCTCATAACCTAATATCCCACTCCATGACCTGAAGTTTCACTGATCACCCCTACACACCCAGCTGCTTTCTGAGCTTGGACAGGGGTAGGAGAGCTCTGCCTTACAGCCCCTTGGAAATACTAGGTTGAGATGAACATTTCTAAAAATAACCTCACTCAGACAGACGCATGCCTTTGTCAAGGCTCAAACAGTATCTTTATTAAAAACTCTAGATTAAACTATTTCTAACTCAGCGGATCTAAACCTGCGGGTTGTGACTTTTTTTGGGGGGTCAAACGACCCTTTTACAAGACCATTAGAAAACACATATTCATTGAAGTTATGAAGGAGAATGATTGGGGCACCACAACATCAGGAAACTGTATTAAAGGATCACGGCAATAGGTTGACAGCCTCTGCTCTAACTGATCCATGCCCCGATCAAGACAGTGTTTCTATGAAAACAACTACATCAGTAGTTCTCAACTTGTAAGTCGCGACCCCTCTGGGGGTCGAATGACCATTTCACAGGGGTCACCTAAGACCATAGGAAAACACATATTCACCACAGTTATGAACAAACAAGCAGACGCATATTACCTTTGCACTGATAATCTTCCCGTACGGCTCAAACAGCTCCCTCAGGTGATCGTCGTCCAGCTCCTCACCAAAATTCTTGATGTAGACGTTGTTGAACTTCCTGTGCTTGTCCCCCATCAGCATGATCCTCTCCTTGCGGGGAATGAAGCGGCCGACGTACCTAACAATACCAGCAGACAACAACACTTATGCATGCATAAATAATGCCATTGTTCAGTAGGAATGAATGACAGCACTGTTAAGTAAAAACAAATGGCCTCACTGTTAGGTATGAATAAATGTAGAACTGACACTACTGAACGGAAACCTATTCCACTCTCTAGTTAGCAACCAAAATAAGAGTTCCTTTGCCTTTTTTGAGGGATACCCCCCCCCCCCCCCCCTTTTTTTTTTAAATGAATGTGGCAAACTCCACAAACGTAAAACAAGCGATCACACCCAATCTGTGTTGATTACTCAGAGTCTCAAGACCCTGGTGAAATTTCTGGCAGCCTTTCAGGGGCCTACCGAACAACACCCACAAAACTCATTATTACAAAAACACAATGACACTCACACTTTCTTGCCGTTGAGCAACATGCCATTGACCTTTTCTATGGCTTGTCTGGCAGCTTCCTCGGTCTCAAAGTGCACAAATCCATAGCCCTTGGAACCATGCTCATCACAGGCAATCTGGCAACAACAAGTCAACACAATGTAAACTGGCTAGTTGGGTAAAAATGAAGTATATAGTGTGTAAGTTGGAGCCTGACTGGCTCATGATTTCTATGCCTGAAAGGTTTCCATCCTGATATGGGAGTAGAGCTTATCATGAGATTTCCATGTGGGTTTCACAGCACTACTGTGTGGTGTGTGTGTAAGCATGTGCGGGCGTGAGTGCATGTGGTGGGGACAAAGCCACTGCCTCTTTACAAGCATGCCGTAAAAGGTAAACAATTAGGGTTTTCTGCAATCACATGAGTTGGTCCGAAAGGCATACATATTGCAGCTTAAATGTAAACCAAATGCAATATGCCCTCTGCCTTTTAAGGGTGAATGAAGAATAATGAGAATTCTTAGGAAATACAACAGGAAGGGAAGGATGTCTGTATAATCAGTGTGCCATGGGAAAAGTTAGCATCTACATCCTTAGACATTTGCTGCGGGAGACGGAACATCTATGGATATGACTGGTGTTCTACAGTGTCCACTCTTAATCACTAAAGGTCTATGTTACATTATCATAAACCATGTTTCTGCAGTGGGATTTCCCACATGTGCTCAATCCTTCGATGCAGCAGCCATCCCAAGGCACTTGTACTGATTGTTGTTGTTGTTCTGTTTATCTTCCCCAGTTACCTCACAAAAGTGTTGGGGGGAACAAATCACTAATACCAATTTGAAAGAGAACTGATTTATTCCCTGTGTCTCCACCTTGCAAAAAAAAAAAATATGAAGCTGCTAGAAAGAGCTGGCTGAGCTACTGGCAAGACATGATGGAACTATCTACTTGAAGTCCACATCCAGTGGGAATATAACTGCTAACCACAGCCAGAAGCAAATTACTTGCCATGTCTTAAACAGTCAGCCTGCCTATACATCATACTGTGCACCTGGGTGACGGAACTATGGCATGGCACATGATGGTGGTGTACTCATCCACTAGGATGAATGACAGAAAAGAGCTCTAGCATATCCTCCTCCTTTGTTCCTGTGCTTAGCGTCCACCAGCTGTATGAACTCGCATGTCAGTAGCAGGTCCTTCATGGTTCCCTATAGCTTGCCCCGCACACTTTGCTCTTGAGGCCAGGTGTCTTTTTGAAGTTGTAGGTAGAGTGGGTAGGACTGCAGAATGTGGGCAGGTCTGCAGAATGTGGGCAGGTCTGCAGAATGTGCTCAGGTTTTTGTGGCCCTGTTTAACAGGCACATTGGGGGACTGTACAATCCTTATTTTACACATGTGGTAGTTGAGCCTGCAGTCCTGTTCATAGACAGAAAATTGTTGTATGTTGCTTTCAACTGAGTCTGCTGATGGGGTCTTGTAGATGTTTACTGTCTGTTCATTCTCTTCACAATTCCTTGTATTTTTCTTTGATAAGTGTTTTGATTTCAGGTTAATGATAATGAATGGGAATTTTGTTTCTCCTTTATTCCACTCATTTCCTGGTATGCCACAGTGCGCCGGGATCCACTGCAGAACGATTTGCACAGAAGAAGAAGAATAGAGATCCAGAACCTAAGCTATACGTGCATATCCGTTTTACAAATCTGACTTACCTTATGCAGACTGCTGGTTCTTTGCCTCACAGGCAGATGCACTCCAACTTTAAAGGAAACAAGCCCAATTAGTCACTGTCTACGATATGCCTGTTAGGGGTAGTGGTTCTATTCCTTGTTCTCCGCAGAACTCACATGAGGAGGGTGTCCTCCTATTTCTACTCCTTCCCATGAGTGCCAACAAATACATTTCCGCTTGTTTGCTTGTAACACTTCTTTTCTGTTTAGCCTTCAATGGCTGTAAACTCCAAAGAAAAATCCTGATTGTTTGTCCCCTTCTGGACTTTGGTTCAAAATTGTTTAGTTTCGCTTGCACAACAGCTTTACAGATCTGGCTTACTTGGATGCAGACCACTGGTTCCTTACCTCTCAGGCAGATGCATTGCAACTTCAAAGGAAGCACAGCTAATTAGTCAACCTTTATGGCATGCCTGTCATGGAGAAATTGGGTCTATTCTTGTTTCTCTTCACAATAGGGCCCCGGAACCCACATGGGGAGATTTTCAATACTATCTGTGGCACAATCTCTGCAGTCATTGCTTACCCTGTGAGCAGGCTCACCTTACAAGACAGGATGTTGCCAAAAGCTGAGAAGGTGTCGTAGAGAGCCTTATTGTCAATGCTCTTATCCAGGTTCTTGATGAAAACATTGCCAACACCAGACTTGCGCAGCGATGGATCGCGCTGGGACCACATGATTCTAATTGGACGACCCTTGATGGTGTCAAAGTTCATGGTATCCATTGCACGTTCAGCTGGTGATGTTGATAAAGTTATTTATAACTGAACAAATGGTATAACGAGGGATACATTAAGGTAGTATACGTTATGGGAATGTTAAGAACCCATACAACAGCACTCTGAACATTCCCATAAGCGACCTATTCCCATCCTAAGCAGCCAGCAAACAGTTTTAATGCTGACGGTGCCAGTAGCAGTTCGATTTTTTTTGTCTTTCTGGTTGGTTTTTCCTCTGAGTGTAGTGTGTCGACCAGATCCCCTGAGTGTAGTGTGGGGGACAGATCCCCTGAGTGTAGTGTGGGGGACAGATCCCCTGAGTGTAGTGTGGGGGACAGATCCCCTGAGTGTAGAGTGTAGGACAGATCCCCTGAGTGTAGAGTGTAGGACAGATCCCCTGAGTGTAGAGTGCCGGACAGATCCCCTGAGCGCAGTGTGTCGGACAGATCCCCTGAGTGTAGAGTGTCGGACAGATTCCCTGAGTGTAGAGTGTCGGACAGATCCCCTGAGTGTAGAGTGTCAGACAGATCTTCAGAGTGTAGAGTGTCGGACAGATTCCCTGAGTGTAGAGTGTCGGACAGATCTTCAGAGTGTAGAGTGTCGGACAGATCCCCTGAGTGTAGAGTGTCGGACAGATTCCCTGAGTGTAGAGTGTCGGACAGATCCCCTAAGTGTAGAGTGTCGGACAGATCTTCAGAGTGTAGAGTGTCGGACAGATCCCCTGAGTGTAGAGTGTCAGACAGATCTTCAGAGTGTAGAGTGTCGGACAGATCCCCTGAGTGTAGAGTGTCGGACAGATTCCCTGAGTGTAGAGTGTCAGATCCTCAGAGTGTAGAGTGTCGGACAGATCCCCTGAGTGTAGAGTGACGGACAGATCCCCTGAGTGTAGAGTGTCGGACAGATCCCCTAAGTGTAGATTGTCGGACAGATCCCCTGAGTGTAGAGTGTCAGTCAGATCCCCTGAGTGTAGAGTGTCAGACAGATCCCCTGAGTGTAGAGTGTCGGACAGATCCCCTGAGTGTAGAGTGTCGGACAGATCCCCTGAGTGTAGAGTGTCGGACAGATCCCCTGAGTGTAGAGTGTCGGACAGATCCCCTGAGTGTAGAGTGTCGGACAGATCCCCTGAGTGTAGAGTGTCGGACAGATCCCCTGAGTGTAGAGTGTCGGACAGATCCCCTGAGTGTAGAGTGTCGGACAGATCCCCTGAGTGTAGAGTGTCGGACAGATCCCCTGAGTGTAGAGTGTCGGACAGATCCCCTGAGTTTAGAGTGTCGGACAGATCCCCTGAGTGTAGAGTGTCGGCCAGATCCTCAGAGTGCACTGTGTCGAACAGATTCCCTGTTTACTCCTCGCTGCAGCATTCCCTTCAGATAGTAAATTTTGTGAGAATACATTTACTTGATGAAACAAATCAGCATATGAGTCTGACACAGCAGGCCGGCAATCTAAAGATTACAGAGTCCCTGTGGAGTTCCAAAGTCCCATTTAGGTGTGGGGGAGGGGAGAAAACAGACGCAGTGAGCGTTAATAAGCATGTCTGTCAGAAATTTAATTAACGAAGTGTTTGCTGGAATTGAATGTGCTTGTCCGAAAGGTGTAGATATCACATCTTAGCTGTAAAACACAACATTATGTGGCAACCACCCTTTTAAGGATGGACACAGCAGCAGCAGAAAAAGAAGCATCAATAGAAGAAGAAGAAGATTAAGAAGAAAAAGAAAAGGCTCCAAGAAACATGAATGAGGTCTGCTATGTTAAGCACCATGTCTACAGTCACAAAAGGGGCCTGTCTACTATGTGCCTGACAAATGCAGACATAGAGAAGTATGGCACATTCATGACAGATGATAAGGGAGTGGAGGTCTACTACAATAGGTCAGAAAAGGTCTAGACAAAAGATGACCTTACTAAACGTAAAGCATAAAATGCGACTAAGCTAGTAATTTCCGAGTGTGTAAATTTCGGTTCTTTTCAGCTTTTTCATCCCATCTCGTCAGCTACAAGATTTGGTAGAGAATTTCTAGGTAGTTGCCCAGATAATCCTATAGTATGGAAGGGGGGGGGGGGGGGGTGGCCAGGGTTAGGGCTAGCGTTATAGTTAACTTAACAGTAACAACACTAAAACAAATCTGTTCTAACCATGTTATGTGCTGGTTGTTTTCAGCTTGTTCATCGTTTACTGTGAAAATTATTAAAGTTAACTGGTGCCTAAAGAATTACGAAAACTTGAGAAAAATATAACAAGAATTTCTTTACACTGGAACCTCTAGAGACACAGAAATAAAGGTAGATTGACAGAAGGAAACTGGGCTCTCCTTGCAATAACGGTCGCTCGGTCGCTAGTTGGACGGCAGCGACGGCCGCTTCGTCGGAGTTCAGTCCCATGGCTGCAGTGCAATTACGGAGTGGAAAAGAGGGAACGAAACAAACGACACAGTTAGGGCTAGGGGTAGGGTTAGGGTAATACATGTAACGTCAAGTACTTACCCATAATGACGGGCGCTATATCTGATAATTTTGACACAGGAGTTCCAAATAATGGCCGAAAATGTGCTGCTTGTGGCAGTGGCGGCATTGGAACTCTGCTAAATATGACAGCAATGGCGCCTGGCTAGTGCCCAATTGGTGCCGAATTTTGCGTTTCGCTAATGTGAGTCGCAGCGCGTGGTCTAGAGGCCACTTTGTTTTGTGATTCGTGCCTTGTCCACTCCGTAATTGCACTGTAGCCAGGGGACTGAACTCCGACTAAGCGGCCGTCGCCGTCCAAGTAGCGACTGTTATTGCAAGGAGAACCAGGAACTGAACTACAGTGGAAAGGAGTGAAGTGGAAAAGATGGGAAGGACACAATGACTTCATTTTGATGTTAGATATAGAAGATAGCTTGACGATCTATGCTCCTTTAAGGTGATAACAGAAAGAAGAAGGGTCCAGTGCAAAGACAACATCCTCATCTGACAATCCCTGACTGACAGAGGACTGGAATGTAACAAAGCCAGAAAGAACACTAGAGAAATACAAGGCATATACAAAAAACCAAGACAATGAACCACAAACTGATATTAGTGAGACACCATAAAGAAGATTACCTCTCTAGCTGGCAAAAATTTGCGCATCTTATAAGTTATAGAAGACAGTTTAAGCCATTCATATTCTGATGATCAGATGAGATTATGGTGTTTTCTGAAGTAAAGATAATTAGAGGTGTTCACATAATGACTGATAATGATAGTTAGTTCATTATGTTTTAATAGTACACAAATTATGCATCAAATCATGTTAAAAAACATGTTAACTTATTACACATTGATAATCTCATATCTACGTATATAAATATTAAAGATAAATAAAACGACATTACCATCGTGCGGTTGTTGAAAGTTCACATAAGCATAACCCAGAGACCGTCTTGTTATCATATCCCTGCAGACCCGAATAGACAGCACAGGGCCGCATGTTGAAAACTTCTCAAACAACATAGCTTCAGTCACGTCGGGGTGAAGATCACCTACGTATAGAGAAGCCATAGGGTAGCTCGTAGCAGGATTCATTCTGTCGGTTACTTCTTATTACTGTAGCTAAAACGAATCTTAAAACTGCGACGAACTTGATGAAAATGGCGGTAGCTTGGAAAGTTCTTCTTACACAACCACAACACAAACAACAGCTGTTCTGTTGTCCGACGTCGACCTTTCCTTACGTTTCAAATTAACTTTTTGGTTTTTTATGAAGATTTTGCGAATTTTTTTGGTATTTTTTTAAAGTTTTATATACTTTTTTAAAGGTTATATATACTCAAAACATGTCAACGTGTTGAGAGACTGAAACCAAGGTCTATTTGCCTCAAGTCGAAGATTCTATCGTTTCTTCGTCTGCTGTTGGACGTGAGCAGTGTTGCCACTTTTTGGGGGACAAAAAACATCCAAAACGGAGTCAAAAATATCTAAAAACATCTAAATTTGCGTGGAAAACAACTAGAAAAAAACATTCAAATGGAAAGAGTAACAAATTACGTAGCAGTTGATATGACTTACCCTATAGAATCATGTCCTCATCTTTACTAAAGTCTGCCTTACAAGATCCACAGGATAAACTTAGCTTGGATGATGAAGTTGAAGCTTCAGATCCAAAATGACTCTGGTATGCGTTAGCTGTTCCTATTTCTTTTAGTACTCAATCAGGGAGCTGATAAGTGGAACAGCATTTTCCTACTCTTATCAGGCCGAATTTTTTTGTCAAGATAGCATTTAAAAGGTTCAATTTCATCCTTCTTTTTAGGTTGGATTTGATAAATTCACTCCAAATGAAAAACTTCTAGAAAACATCTACCATCTAAACATCAAAAACGCCATCTAAATGCAATGAAAACATCTAAATCTGGATATAAAACATCCAAAGTGGCAAACTGTTGGATGTGAGCGGAAGTGACGACACGCCGGCTCATCTTCAGATCTTTCCGCGCTGTAACGTAGTTACACTTATTTATGCAAAATATCACACTGCGTCGTTATCTTAACTGTTATTTTGGCCCAGATATTGGAACTGGAAAAACCATAAAATTTAGCTATGTGAAGAATAACTGTAATTTTGACATTAATGTAAAAAAAAGTCGCTATTCATTTAAACACTAACCCTAACCCTACCCCCCCCCCCCCCCCCCATACAATAGATTTCCATTAAGTCTTGCGTGATGTGGTTGCTTAAAAGAACAGAACCTAAAAATAGAGTGTATGTGCGTTGTTTAATATCACGTTAGAGTTCATTCATATATTCTTTCATTCACCTGTCCATCTTTACAAGTGGTGATGATGGTTCCTGTTATCCGGTATAGAAAAACGGCAGTGCAGGATTAAGGGCTTTAATGCCTTACAATCTGCATTATCATCAATCAGCATATCCTTTACAGAACGTCGCTTTCCTCACGGCACGTCTGAAAGTATCCCTTTCCCTAGCCAGCTCTCCAGCCCCATGTGCTTTCAATGTCAATGCGTCTTCAGTGTCTTGTATCCATCTTCGCTTTCCACAAACTGTACTACCCTCCATCACCGTCTTTACCAAGCCACCATAACGTTTGATGTGGCCAAAAATACTTTAACTTTCGGGACAGGATGTTGTTTATGAGCCAGTTCTCCTTGATGTTTAGCTCGTATAGATTGTCGATGTTTTTCCTTTTCTCGATCCATGGTATTCTTAGCATTTTTCATAACAAGTTATTTCAAAATCTCCAATCTTTTTCTTAAGTGATTGAGTGAGAGTCAAGGACTCGCAGACGTAAGTTGCCACAGGTAAAATGCATGATTCAAGATTTTTACTTCAACTAATTTACTAGCGCTTTGTCATAGGTTCTTCATGCTGTTTAATCTTTGGTTAGTTAGTTAGTTAGTTGGGTTATCATCATTGCACTCCGGACATGTCCATAGGTGCTCAGATCCTTCCCTCAGCATGAACGCCAACGTCCGATGGCTAATGGTACCAGTTCTATGTTGATTAACAAGTCTTCTGACGTGTCCGGTGTGCGTCTCGTTTTTTGCTGTGCCGATCTTAATTCCCAAGTCTGCCATTCTGGCGAGTGATGTGGATTCACTGCCATCAAAGTCCTCTATCCTTCCCATTTCTCTGAGGGCACTGATAATATCAGCATGATCCATAGGCCGACCGTCGGTAGTGATAGCGGATTCAGCCAACCTGTCAGCTCTTTCATTTCCATCGACGCCTGCGTGTCCCGGATCAAAAATAAAGGTGACTCCTCGCACAGTGGACTTCTGAATTGATTCAAGCCATTGTCTTCGCACTGAACCTGCCTGAACCCTCCGGATCATACTCATTGAATCACTGAGTATACACACGTGGGTGTATTTTTGTGTTTCAAGCCAGGCAAACGCTTGCGTCACTGCCATCACCTCCATCGTCGTGCTGTTGGTTGTCATGGAGAAGGCGCCGTTTAATCTCCGCATTGCTAATGCAAGTCTGCTTCTGACTTCTTTCGAACAGTCTCCACTGTTGTTCACTAAAGAGCCCAGGTATTCAAAATCAGTTACATTGTATATTTCTTCATTTTCGATTGTACATGGCTGGTGTGCTGTATTTACTAATGACATGATTTTTTTTTTTAATTCAGAAAAAGATTCACTTCTTCACTGTGCTTTTTGACGGCAAGAATTAATTTTTCTAAACCTTGTACACTGTTGGAAAGGAGAACTGTGCTGTCTGCATATCTGAGTTCTGGGATAGGATTACCTCAAATCTTTAGTGGGATCAAAGTTCTCACATGCCTCATCGCTAATTGAGTTCCTCATAACATTTTGTGCATCTATGTTAAAGAGGGAACGGAGACAGAATGCAGCTCACGTTTAAAATCCCTTGGCAGTTGGAAATCGAAAAAAAAAAGTAGCTAACGGCGCTGCCCGTGCAAAACTTGGAGTTAAAAATCTACCCAAAATATTTGAGTATCCTCGCCGGAGGTACAGAGCCTGTGCAATGTGGTGAGCTTCTTCGGACGTAAACTTAGTTAAAAGAAGAACGAAGCACTTATGGGTTACTACCCGTGTGCCATGATGTTGATCCGTGGTTCAAACCTTAAACTTCCAACCACTCTGATGTTTCATCAGCTATCATAACTTTCACCAACTTTTCCATGCAGAGGCTTAAACCCCCCCCCCCCTTTTTTTTCCCCACCCCCAACAAACGCAGTTTTATTTTATAAATTTTAAATGTAGTTTTAGTCTGGAGAAATTTGCGAGAAAACCATCGAATATGACGAAGATCCAAATATTTTGTTTGTAGATCAGAAATAGGCTTTAGGCAGAGCAGATAATTAGGGAAAGCTCTTTCTTGAGTGCGCCTTTTAAACACCATTTCAAAGACAACACTTGACTTGAAATGACTTCAGCTAGAATAAATTCGTGATTTCTGCATTTCTTAGCTACTAGTAAACTGTTGTGACTGCGGTCGTCCTATCTTAAAGTAACAGTTTCAAACCAAGTTAAAAACAAATGGGGCTGATGTCTGAAAGGCTGTCTGGGACGATGGAGAGAAATTGTGGGAAGTTGTTCACATAGCAACCAGAATCGACAGGGTTGAGGTCCCTCTAGCCCAGTGGCTCTCAACCTTCCTAATGCCCACTTTAATACAGTTCCTCGTGTTGTGGCGACTCTTCAATACAGTTCCTCGTGTTGTGGCAACTCTTTGATACAGTTCCTCGTGTTGTGGCGACTCTTTAATACAGTTCCTCGTGTTGTGGCGACTCCTTAATACAGTTCCTCGTGTTGTGGCGACTCTTTAATACAGTTCCTCATGTTGTGGCGACTCTTTGATACAGTTCCTCGTGTTGTGGCGACTCTTTGATACAGTTCCTCGTGTTGTGGCGACTCTTAAATACAGTTCCTCGTGTTGTGGCGACCCTTAAATACAGTTCATCGTGTTGTGGCGACTCTTTAATGCAGTTCCTCGTGTTGTGGCGACTCTTTGATACAGTTCCTCATGTTGTGGCGACCCTTTAATACAGTTTCTCATGTTGTGTCGACTCTTTAATACAGTTCCTCGTGTTGTGGCGACCCTTTAATACAGTTCGTCGTGTTGTGGCCACCCTTTAATACAGTTCCTAGTATTGTGGCGACCCTTTAATACAGTTCCTCGTGTTGTGGCGACTCTTTGATACAGTTCCTCGTGTTGTGGCGACTCTTAAATACAGTTCCTCGTGTTGTGGCGACCCTTAAATACAGTTCATCGTGTTGTGGCGACTCTTTAATGCAGTTCCTCGTGTTGTGGCGACTCTTTGATACAGTTCCTCATGTTGTGGCGACCCTTTAATACAGTTTCTCATGTTGTGTCGACTCTTTAATACAGTTCCTCGTGTTGTGGCGACCCTTTAATACAGTTCGTCGTGTTGTGGCCACCCTTTAATACAGTTCCTAGTATTGTGGCGACCCTTTAATACAGTTCCTCGTGTTGTGGCAACCCTTTAATACAGTTCCTCGTGTTGTGGCGACTCTTTAATACAGTTCGTCGTGTTGTGGCTATCCTTTAATACAGTTCGTCGTGTTGTGGCTATCCTTTAATACTGTTCCTCATGTTGAGGCGACCTATAAATACAGTTCCTCATGTTGTGGCGACCCTTTAATACAGTTTCTCATTTTGTGGCGACTCTTTAATACAGTTCCTCGTGTTGTGGCGACCCTTTAATACAGTTCGTCGTGTTGTGGCCACCCTTTAATACAGTTCCTAGTATTGTGGCGACCCTTTAATACAGTTCCTCGTGTTGTGGCAACCCTTTAATACAGTTCGTCGTGTTGTGGCAACCCTTTAATACAGTTCCTCGTGTTGTGGCAACCCTTTAATACAGTTCGTCGTGTTGTGGCGACTCTTTAATACAGTTCCTCATGTTGTGGCTATCCTTTAATACAGTTCTTCATGTTGTGGCTATCCTTTAATACAGTTCCTCATGTTGTGGCGACCCTTTAATACAGTTCGTCGTGTTGTGGCCACCCTTTAATACAGTTCCTAGTATTGTGGCGACCCTTTAATACAGTTCCTCGTGTTGTGGCAACCCTTT